GGCAGGCGGTGTGAGTGTGCGCATTCTGAGCACCACAATAATCAGGGCTAATCCTAGTGTTGTAGGGTAAAGATGAAATGCCCCAGAATGAGGGGTTTATTGTGCACAGAACCCGGATTTGTCCTCTCGGGCGGCAGTGGCCACTGGCGAAGCCAGGGCTGGTGTTGACTGCGTCCAGTCATGCCTGACAGTCCCTGAGATAGTGGTGGCAGCCGCTTTTGTAGGCTCGTGGGCTAAGCTCAAATGGTGTCCCATTAGTGTGTGTTGCATTTACCGAGGGATGGTGTCCCAGTGGCTGTTTTGATGGTTGCAGGGGGTGGCGCATAGGTAGCCGCGACACTGTGAGGACGCAATTGCGTTCGAGCTGAGGTCGGTCGAGTGACTTCAGGTCAGCGCGTCTGGGACGGCTCGCTGCAAGGGGTGAATGACCTTGAGGCAGCGGGGTCTTGGACAATGACGCCAGACCGGTTACGATGGCTGCGCGCTACACGCTGATCCCAGAGCAGAAGCTCACCTTTCCATCAAGTCACTCTATAACTCATTCGATTTAGCTTATTTCTAATCGGAGTTTAGTACCTTTATGATGGCTGACTTTGTCTATGATGAATGAAAGGCACAACTTTTGCTTCAGTGGTGTTAATTAGCATGCCTCGATAAGAGTAACTGCATCGCGTGTGTTGAAATCTGGAGAAAGTAGGACACCGGCTCAAAGTACTGCTGCTGCCCGAAAGCAAACTTCAACCCTTAAGGGGACGACAACTGCATGAACTGCAACCTGCTCGAATATGAGTGTCATGGTCGCATGCGAACTGCGACACACCATTCACGTACCGGGGGCAAATCCCTGAAACAACTGATTTCTCACGGTAATCTCGAACTGTCACAATGACCCCCAGGAGTGTTTGAGGGGAGATCGTCACCCAGACTGCAGCGCATAGGTCAGTGAAAGCATTTAAACAGGGGAACACTTGTTGTAAGCGGCGGTGCGAATGTGTGCGGCATGTGAGCTACAATCGTCTAATCAGATCCCAGGTTGTGGGGAGGGAGACAGAAGGCACCAGCATGATGGATTTACTGTGCACAGAACCCAGTGTTGTCCTCTCAGGCGGCAGTGGCCACTGGCGAAGCCAGGGCTTGTGTTGACTGCGTCCAGTCACGCCTGAGAGTCCTTGAGATAATGGTGGCAGCCGCTTTTGTAGGCTCGTGGGCCAAGCTTAAGTGGTGTCCAGTCAGCGTGTGTTGCATTTGCAGAGGGGTGGTGTCCTAGTGGCTTGTTTTGCTGGTTGCAGGGGATGGCGCGTTCAAGTGGCCGCATGGGCAGCTGCGACCGCGCGGACGCAGGTATGCCCGAGCTGTTGGTCATGTGACTTCAGGTCAGCTCGTATGGGACGGCTCGCTGAGAACCTACACGCATTTGTTGGCCCACTCCTACTATTTATGAAGGTCACATGTGAAACAGCAACCACATGCATGTCCCAGCTACGCCCGCCCACTAACAACAAATATTTGACAGAAGCAACAACGGTCTCACCAGGCCCTAAAGTCACGAAACAAAAGGTGGCAGCCGGACGTCAAATGAAAAAAAAAACAGGGAAATACGAGACAACAGTCGTGTCAGGCTGTATCCTGGACAGATGACCCTGATAGTTTGACAGGCACAAGCAACGACGTCCACCCCGCGTACCCCACGGCGGGACACGAGGGGGGCAGCCCCGGTGAGTAGCATGTGAATTGATTTGTAGTGAGACGAACTTGAGCAGCACCTGCCGATCTCTCTATGCCCCTCTCTCACTCCCTCTCCCTCTCTCTCTCTCTCTCTGTCTCCCTCCCTCTCTCTCAGTCTTCGATGGCAAAATAGTATCCAGACGACCACAGCGGTAAATGCGACTCGCAAATTTAAACAGGCCGTCCAGGCGTATCACACACGAACTGGTCTCAGCGGCCTTCATGTATAGGCATCTTGGTCTCAGGGGTGTGAGGGTGCCATGCAGACCATGCTTATAAGGAGACGATAAAGCTTGACTCTTAGTCGTCCGCCAAATTTTACAGAACGCATAACGATCCTTCCGTCGGTCCAACTACGTAAACCTTGTTGCTACTTTTACTTCTTTTCCAAATGACCAAGTTTGTTCGCCATTTGCACACCTGTCGAGCACCAACTTTATGGCTGACACTGCTATGGCGCCAATCCGGGAACCGTTCTAAGGACTTCAGCCGGTAGCAGCGACGGGTGATGTGTGCAAGGGACATGGAAAGCGTAATCAATGTAGGCTAATAACTTGCAAGGATAACACTTCCAAACTCCGATCCTTGTTGTGCCGGCGACTGACCCCTTCGCCCAGCACTTTTGGGTCGGATGTAGGCACCACCATTATAGCGCGCATACGACGTCGGGCATCATGGAAATGTTTTTTCTCAATTTCGCGCACATTTGTAGTGTTTGTCTCTCTAAGATTTAAGCACAACTGCGCCGTACCTAAGGGCCAACTCCAAACCGAGGACTCATGAGAGAACCGAAAGAACACATCTATATGAGATAGGCAAATAAAACCATGTGCAAAAATCTTCGTCACTTTCCTCCCATCAAACAATAATCCCCAACGTCCGTGGTGCATTTAGAGGAGAGCAATAGGAGCGCGGGATGCTGTTTTGCTGCTCGTCCCTCGGTTGGGATTTCACTGTGGACAATCAGGGTAGTGCGTGCAAATTTCTACTCCCAAATGAAAGTTCTATTTAAGGGTTATACCTGCCTAACCAATGCATAATTAGGCAAAGGCTTTTACCGTCCCAGCCTCACCTATCTTTGTCTGCCTACCTCCTAGTACCTCCAGCGTAGCGTTCACTCTATTGCCAGCGTGCCGCATCACTGTTGCCAAAAAAAGTTTCCGAAGGGGTTTTCGATAATTTGACCGTCGCAAGTGATAATATCCACCAACTCACAATGCGGTGACCGTCCCGTGAATTGTCTGTAAACTTGTGTACATGGCAGAGATTTGTTGTACGCCAATCTCTCTCCATCTTCCTAAACCCGACCGTGACTTCTCTCATATCAAACTCCACTGAGGAGCTTGTTTCACAAGAGTGTGATCGTCATCAGGGTCACATTACGAAGGAGTCATTGCAGTCAGACAGTCAGTCTGAAAATAGACCATGCTGTGAACCTTCCCGTGCTGGATGTCCGAATTAGATGGACTTAATCATCTTTTCTCTCTCCTATGCCAATACAGTTGACTAAGAACGTGAAATCACCATGTACCGTCCTCCACGTATGAACTAAAATCGCACTAAAGTCAGGTGCACCATAGTGGTCTTCTACTTACTGCAGCATGTGTATTCTAACCTCCGAAATGGGTAAATGGGCAGTTTAAATGCCGAATAGCAGAGCACGCTTCCCAAGCATAGAGTACTTAAATCCGTAGGGAGGTATGGAATTTCGTGACAACACCTTAACATCTGGCGGAAAATATAAACTCGAGAGTTTATTCCAGGTGCGGGAGGTGAAACGAGCTATCGTTTGCACTTAAATCGACCATATTTGGGATTCCTCTCTGCTAAGAGTCTTCTCGATCTCCGTAAAAAAATTCTAGCTCATCTCCCTCGGGCAGAATGTTGGAAACCTTTTCAAAAAAGCCTTTTCTCACTTTGTTTACTTACCAACCTGTACTGCTAACTGCCGTGCAACTTGTCATCTGATCATGCTGATGACGTCTGGACTGGTGTTGTTACAGCGGTTATTGGCGGTTTGGATAGATTGGTAAGAACTTTTTTGAAGCAGTCTCGTGCAGTGTAGCGTGTCGGTTCAGGCCTCAACTCACCCATATTTTTTGGCTGGCGAAAGCGTTTCGCTGGCTCTCAGTTCAGCTACTACCGATTGATCGAGTATATTTTCGTCTTGGGTATTCAGATCCTGTTGACTAAGAGGTAACTACATCAGCAGCCGCAATTTACCTAATTCTCAATCCACTAATGGATCCGACTCATATGTGCACGAAAGTGTTCTGGTCTTTGTCGAACATATCGTTAGGAGATTTGCAGCCCGACCACTGCGCGATACATTTACGTTAATATTCAAACTTACATTTTCTGATAGCCTGAGGACAATTATATCTCAGGGGAGATATATGGAGCCATCGTCGCCATAGTAGCTATTCCCGAACATTGCCGTCTTCACACCAAGATGGATGTCATGGATAACTCTGCGGAAGTATCTGGATGTACCTTAATGAGCGACTTAGAGATCATTTGGAGGGATATAATGTGAGGAGAATTTTCACCCCTCTAGAGCTTTACGGTGGTTCAAAGCCATACCTTTTCATTTGATCCCGTAAACCAAGATCCCTTTGACATTTCGACGACGACGACACCAACCTTCTACAAGGTGGCGTCATAATATATCTTCTAAGGAATTTTTCGCCGCACTAAGAAGTTAGAAGCGGTGGAACTACCTCTCTCCAGAAGGCCTATCACAGTATTTGCTTCCCAATCGAGGATGTATTCGTCTCCAACGTACTTGGACGACGACTCCATCGCATCGCTGAACAGGCTTGCAGTGTCGCCTGCTTGATCCTCTGAACTGCCTAGTAGGCAGAATGATCTTATTATGTTTGACCGTTCCGAGTTGTTTGAATTTATCGTACCCACATCTGCATGACGAAAAAATATTCTTCCCAGGTAGATAAGAGACAAGTAAAGTTTATGTCACTGCATCCCCTCACATTCACAACCTTAGTCTATTATGGATTACTTTTAAAAAATTATCTGTCTTTACAATCACCTTACCTATGAATTACGCTTACCCCCACCCTGTTCATATCTACCCTTTCAAAAGATTTTGAGGAAATCATCCACGTATATTTACAGGTCGTAATTTGTTCATGAAAGGAATTTTCAACGTCGCGTTTGATTATATGCATAAAGTAATACATACAAAGTGCTGGAAGGCAAAATATTAGATGAAAGGGCATTTGTTCCAAAATAGGTATAGGTGAGTGAAATCTGCATCACAATACCCGAACGACAGAGTCCTTTTCAAAGTCAGGGTAGGTCTCAGATGATTCCTCCTCATCTTCGACGATTGGACGACAGACGTTACAGGCATTGGTACATATATTTGTAACCGCTGTACAAGTCCCATTCTTATCTTTAAGAAATATCGAGAGAGTGAAGCCTGCAAAAGACGAAAAGTGCGAAAATTACTAACCTTTCGTGAACTAAAAGTTGCATTTTATGATGCGCCCTTATTCAAGTACGTAAATAGACCTCAAAACTTCCGAATTGTGAGCATGTTTAAAACTATTTTCAGGGTTTCTTTTGAAATGAGCCTTCTGGGCCTTAAACAGTAGGAAAAGTAGGAACAACAGAGGCGTGAGCTCGGCCCGAGTGACGATCAGTAGACCAGATTTAGATCATATTTCTTGTGAAAATATTTATTGGGCTTTCCTCTGATGACATTTACGTCCGAGCGCTAGGTTCATAATCTAGGTCTGAAGAATTTTAAATTTCACCTCGCTTGATGCTTCCTCATAGCGGTGCACTCTACTCTTCAGAGGGGAACGTTCTGATGTGGCAAATAGCAATCAATCGATGAAACTTGATTTACAACATAAGAGACACTTAGGTATGTTGAACGTCAACAAAAACTTACTAACTAAGCAAAGTGCAGCCGCGGACAGGTAGACGGCAATCCACTGTCCATCAATTGTGAATTGCGAAATGATTGCTGAGAGTAGGAGGGAGCTTGGAGCCTTTAAGGAAAATAAAGAAAATGAAGTATATTGGCGGGCCAACAGGCTCATTCAAATCGAAAACACAGGGTGTCCATCACGCGGATGTCTCCTTTGCCCCTCCAAGATTACAAGGTCCAAGGGTTATATTACTGAGGTGAGTTGATATTACGAAAATCATAAAAAAAAGAGGCCCAGTGCAGACCAAGGCACCGGTAGTCCTGGTCGCAGTCCGAAGCGAAATTACAAATTCAACATTGTCGCTAGATTGCAGGCCGAATAAGTAGCTCTCAGTATGTTGCAGTGTGTAACAAATAAAAAGATAAGACAAACGCATACTTAACTTGGTTGTATGGTCAAAATCGCGCTTACAATATGCCCACTAATAGGCTACATTAGGTAAAAATAGAGTTAATTACGTCTTAGCCACCTCGGAAGTTTATTTTAAATATTCCAAAGTACGCATAACCAAGGCTCTATCGAAATCGAGTTTTTAGCCAGCCGTTATTCCATATGCCCAGTGCCAGTTTTTGTCATTGGAAATTTCTAACGTTCAGTACTGCGATTAATACACTTAAGGTACGGGAACATTTTGTTTCAATAAACACACATTAAAGACTAACATAAGTGCTTGGTATAGGTCTGCTTTGCGCGCCATTGCCTTTGAATTACACACCTAGTGCCATAGGGCGGCAGCCAGAAAAGCTTTTGGCTAGTAGACGTATCTGTTAGAAGTTATTCTGGGCGCGAACTAGAAATAACTGCAAAAGGCGCTCCCGAATGGGCGAGAAACACTGTTTACTTTGTAGAGACGCATGCCCAAATTATGCAAATTCTGGTCCTAAGCTCATTAAAACGTACTGTTCAATGGCTTTGAGAGAAGTCATATTTCCGGGTTTTAAAGGACCGGGTTTGCATTTAGTGGTATTTTACGCGAACTGGCCAGTTGTCTTTTCCGCTATTTTTCTGTCTTTGGGGTTGAATTTGAAATGCAAATATACTTCTGAGGAGTAAGTCAACCGATGCCCGTTAAACAATTGTTTTAGGCGGCTGGGCATCAGATCGCAGTGTCTTTCCAGTTAAAAAAAAAAACAAGTAAAGTTAAAAACGAACGGGGCAACATAAAATTGTCTCCTACCGTTGCGAAGAAAATCAAACCGTAAAGGGTTGCCATGTTTTCTGGTCCAAAGATGCGTCCACAGGCACCAGGCAGGATAACAAAGTGGCCGGCCAACAAGAAAAAGAGGGCAAATACCCATATTGGATATATGTATTTCAATACGCTCGAAGACCCGATAGCAGGGAATGTTGCAAAGAATAGAGCCCAAATGACAGTCAGGAAGCCAAGAGGACACTAGAAAAAAGACAGTCGGGTTATTATTTAAAAATACCTTTGATTTCGCATAATGCAGCTCAAAAAACTTTATTTTTTGGGAAACCAACAAAGGTTTCGGTGTTTAGTATGCCACATTAATATTTTGCATGCTCCCCTTATTTCGAACATGAACAAGGTTTTCACCAAAAATCTACTCACCTTAAAGGAAAATTTATCCACAATGATGCCCCAAAGTACTCTTCCCAGGGCATTGAAGGCTGAACTCAAAGTCGCAATAATTGAGAGATATTGATCATCCAGATTCCTCTCCGCTCCATAGACCTGAAAGAGCACAAGGCAGCATTTAGTGTACAAAGATTTTATTCATGTTTTTGGCATGGTCGAAGTTTATTTGGATTATATGTTTAGACGCATTGCCTCTGTCCATCTCAGATCAATGTGCAAGAAAACAATCAGGTAAGTTTGAATTAAGTTACAACAAGTATTAGAAAGATATACAACTTGCCTTATAAGTTGAAGACAGTAGTGTTGTGGGTATAACGTTGCAGAAGAAGATAAACCATAATAAATAGAAGTCGATAGTCCGCAAAGCCTCCTTCAGAGTATAACTTTTTTGGACCGGTTTACTGTAGCGGAGAACGTTAAGCACGATTTAAGTATTCAAAGAAAGACTATGTACAAACTATAACTACTATTTGCTATCAGCAAAAACTCATAATTATAGTAGCCCATATTTTTCCGAGATATTTATGAGACGTTTTGATGCTTTGAAATTTAGATTGATCAAAATAAACCGTACACGTTTACATTCATCTCACTCTCTGCGTCTTTTTCAGAAATCTCCATCGTGGACGATTCCATACTGCCAAAAAAATGTGGACAAGTTTTAGTAAATACGTCGGCCGATTTCTAAGATGTATGGGGCAATAAAAAAAGACTTACGTATCATGGTTGACGTAAGACGACTTCTCGTTTATTTGTGAGCTCTTTTCAGATGCATTAGAAGCATTTGGCGGCGTCTTGTCTGCAGCTTTTCTCTCCCGGCAAATGATAAACCCAACTACTTGAAGACCCAACATTAAGCCCCCAAGAATTAGAAATGCGTTCGGGACCTTCGCCTTGATTGTCGGGCTAAAAAATGAACAGTTTTCGGTGAATTTTAAATCGAACGGACAATCAGAAATAAATAATAAACCAAAGGTTTGTAAGGCTACATTTTGAGCTAAAAAACACGCTCTAGTTATTGTTGTCATTCTGCTCTTTCGATATTGTAAATTTAAACTTATTCGCAGATTACCTTTTCACCGCACGATTGCAAAAAACTTACTCTGTTAGGTTAGTAAGACCGTTTGGGTTTATAATCTTTGTTTGTATCGGCGTAAAAAGGAGTGCTCCACATCCAAAGCCTGCAGCAATGAGTCCAACAATCGTTGCACGGTATTTTGGAAACCACTTAATAAAAAATAGACTTTAAAAGTCAGGCCGGTTATGGGAAAGAGAAGTCGTTTCGAAAAAAACCAACCAGAATACATGAATTTCAAACATTATATAACGCATTTTAAATACCTGTTCATACACTTTTTGGACAATTATTGAAGTTCTGTGGGTTGTAATGTATGATTCCAGCGTCAATTGCCCATCAAGTAAGCGCAAAAAGGGCAATTTAACAATTGTTTATTTTGGTCCTCTTGGTGGCTAACAAACATTCACAAGATTACGGCCCGTATGATAATTGAAATATTAGAACTTCAGGTCTATTATGGAAAATAAATTTGGCAAGGTGTCTGGGGGGTGATCTTGTTAGGATTGTGATGAAATTGTTAGAATGTATTCAGTTTTTTGCTAGTTTCATTTCATACTTGCTAACTTACCGAGGAAGCAACCGCCATAAGTACTGAGTATGGCAATCCGATGCCGATGCCAAACAAAATGCAGTATGTTGCAATAAATGGGCCCAATCCGTGGTCAACTGTTACTCTTGAAAGGAAAATCCCGCCGCTAAAAATTCAAGAGAATATATTATCGGCCTCCTAGTTTTTGTCATCAGGTAGTGGAGCTAGATCGTTAACAAATGTCGTACGAAAAACTGGTTGTTAGACAATCCTACCGTAAAGCAGTGGGCGACTGTGTTCTCTTAGTCAGGAAACATGCTTTATTAGTCTGCTCTATATTTAGTAGAGTCACTGCCGATTTTTCTCAAATATTTAAAATGTACATCGTCGTTATGTGAACGGTATAGGCAGGCTGCATACAGCAATACCAGTAAACTCCTAATAACTCCCATGAACAAAAAATATTCGGTCTGTAAGTGACTTTTCAATTGGTCGTGTATGAAATTAAATTTATATAAAAATCATATCTAAACGATTTTATCTGAAAACTCAATCCAATCAACTTTCTGCGATCATCAAACGAACATAAAAACATCATAATATTATTTAGAGTCTGACTGGATAAAGGCAGATGAAATGAACATTTATTCTTAATGCTTGCCTGCTAAGAATAATTCCCATAATGGTCACAGCCCTAAATCCGATTTTTGGTTGAAGGATGCCTCCAATGGGCATAGAGACGGACTGCATTGCAAACATCACGGAGTTAAACCAGATACTTTCACTCTTCTTTATGCCCATATAGGCAATCAGGTATGGGTTCATGTTTCCTAAGACTGATTTTGCGTTTAAGGAACATACCAACGGTGTAGAAGTATCCAAAGGAGAGGTGCAACAGAACCGCTCCTGTAACCGACAAAATACCCCAAATCAAGTCCTTCCTTGGCATTTTGTTATTAGCACTTCTATGGAGTTAGGGGCGAACTTAAATACGTTTAGTTTAATCGAATATGCAATCCTGATACACTAAAACAAAGATAGGTCAAAGGAGTAAGTTTACACTTTTCGAACACCTCAAACGCAATTTACGGATCTCTGAATGAGATCAAAACTGACGAAAGGAGTGCGCGAAGGTATGAAGCCCGAGAGACATTTCGTAAGACTTACTACTTATAAAGGCAGCGTGGGTGCGGGGTGGGAGAGCACGCTGAACAAATTGCAGCCTCTTTCACGGTCGAAATGAGTGATAATGTAAGTACGATTTTCATCTCAAAATTCGGAATTAAGTGAACAGATGAAAAACAGTGGATGGTAGAAAATGTGTATGTAAAATAAATTTGGCATCAGCCAGGCAGCATCGAAAACGCGAGAGAACAACTGGAAGTAAGCACGGAAAATACAAAAAGAATAAACAAAATAAACGCAGACGAAACTGAAAGGGCAATACAAATACGATAAATGTAATTGGAAAAAGCAGCTGTGGTTGGCCCCCTCGTGCAGAATCCTAGCACAAGCAAAATGAGTCAAATTTTCTTAGTACCAATTTTTCTTAGTACCCGCAGGCGGATCCCGACCCAGATACTTGTCTACTGAAAAGCATAAAAGAGATCGCCAGCCGACCAGACGTTGTTATTATCGGGGATTTTAATGCACCATGCATTCAATGGAGCGATATGCATGCGAAATGCTCGATGAATACCTTCGATTACCATCTACTAAAGACAACTCTTGAAGCTCTACTCACGCAACATGTCCTGTTTCCAACTAGAGCTCGTGGAG